GAGAGAGAGAGAGAGAGAGAGGAGGAGGAGAGAGAGAGAGAGAGAGGGAGAGAGTTATGCATTCGGAATCAATTTCCAAAGAAATACTTGGGACAATATTTTAGAAATGTAAGAGTAAGGAACGATTGATTGTACTTAAAAGTGACATTTTGTAGATAAAATAAATACCATAAATGACAGATTGTCTCTTTGAAGTTTCTTGGAGTTCCTCAGGAACATTTCATTTTCCGTTTTTTTTTTATAAGCCTCGAGTAGCACGCTCATTTAAGGCATCAGCTAGCACAGCTATCCTGTTTCGGAGTTCCAGGTCATTTAATGCATCCTCATCAACTGGTACCAAATCCTCTTCTATCACGTTGTTTGGTACTGTGATCATTTCTTCTGCTGGTATCAAAACGTACTACAAAATTAAATTTTTGTAAGAAAACAAACTAAAGGATTAAATTTAATAATAATTTCAACAATTCGCGAGGGCGATAATTACAACTGATTGATAATACAGTAATCGTGACAAGTTTAGTGATAATGAAAATAGTTATCATCCTACATTCCATATTATTATTTTAAATTTGTACTAACACCTAACCTTGGGTATCTCTTCACTTTCTTTTTCGGTTTCATGAATTTCATCCTCAGGCAGCTCGATAATCGATAGTGCAATTTTCGGTTGGTCGTCATTAGCCATGGTTAATTCGTCTTCATTGCCACCGATTTCCGCGGTGTATGGTAATATCGGCCGTCTAATTGAATTGCGGGGTAATTTAACAATCCGATATTCGTCAACGGGTAAACCGAGATCATATCGATCTAGTTGGCCCCGCACAATTCGTGCCAAAATTGCCAATTCCAAGTCTAAAAAAAAGTGAAAATTTCCGCGATATTTTTCATTTCCAGAAATCAGACCAAAAAAATAAGTTCCTTTGAAAAATCCCTACTAATTAGTAATCTTTATTTTGACTGTAATTAATGGAACGAGGTTTTTAAATACAAATAGTTCTTATTGCATGTGACATAAGCGCTTATTTCCATCATCCAATTGGCGATCTCTGGTAGTGTTGGTGAATCTGAGTGTATTTTAACTTAAATTTCTTCTGAACTTCTATAAAAGAGGTGTGTTTAACTTTTTGGATTCATTAAAATGATCATGTAAAACATTTCCTTTTAGAATGCAATATATTTCTAATTTTCATTTGCATAAGTAAACTTTCAATAAAGTAATTCTTGGAGTCAGCAAATTGGCGCAAAGGTTATCAGGAAGTTCGAATATCTCATAGATAAAGATTAGTAGTGTTTAGAAAAAAATGCTACTTTTCCTGATCAATTATTGATATTATTTTAACTGGTACGGCCAGAATTTTAAGACTCGATCTTACTATCCTTATGCTAGATTTTACTGCTATAAATAGCCATTAATTTGAATACAAATGACAATTTGGAAAAATGGATAAATCAAGTCAACAGACTGTATAGTTCATCACATATTATTACTCCATTATCATGCAGTTATATGAGATAGTTATTTGAATCACGTACGTGGCCATTTTAGACTTTGCAACGTTCAAACTTCTCTTCATCATTTTCACATTCAAATTCTCACAAGTCTATTTTTTTCTTATCTGATTTCATCTAATGAATATTATGCAAGATTCAAACCATCAAGTTGATTCATCAGTTCATCATCTCCGTCCTCGCCAGTATTGTCAACATTATCACTGTCACCAATTTCCTGATTGTTACGTATTTGGGCAATTGTTCGTCTAGTTGGTAGTCTTATTCGTTCCTCCAACTGATAACCTCGTTTCTCTCGATTTACTCCATCTAGAAATAATTATTTCCTTTTTTAATTAAAATTTAAATATTCAATTCCTTTCCTTTAGTCAGAAAAAAATTTCTATGGAAACTCCTTTATCGAGCGGAACAATTTCGCATATCCTTTTTACTAGCGGTGATAAATGCCTCCGATAGGATCTCCAGACAGATTTCAACTGAAGAATCAAACAAAGTGTGTCTGTCCATGGGTAGGTTGGGCTCGCCAGACTCCCGCCAATCATCCGGGAGAAGGACAACCATAACTGAAAACCCGAACAGATGGAACTCGTTCAATCCTATAAGACTAACCATCTAAGAGCTCTACCAAAACCTATTAAATTTACTGTCATCGTCCTAACTTGATACATCCTGATAGATGACCCTTGGGAGTAAAGAGTAGGGCATGTCCCGCGCGCAATGCACCTCACTTAAAAACACCCACATTTATGGTCTTTGCAACAAGTGCGGGTAAAGCCCTTCCCAAATCCTCGTTCGCGGAGCCTAGCCATGATGACATACATAAATGCAAATTTATTTAAATTTTAACTATAAAGTTCAGGTTAATGTGATATTTCTGAAATGCCTCATTTACATTTTCTTATAGTACTTGAATGGTTCATTACACATTGCATTTAAGCAAATAATTCATCTCAAGTTTTAGATCATAAATAAGGATTAATATAGAAATTGAGATATTTAATAAAAGTGCAAAGCCTCGTCTTTAATTTTGTTTAAATTGACTTGGTTTTTTTCTTTTGTTTAACACGAAAACCATAATTAATTCTTCTCTCATACTGCATTTCAAATACATTTCTAACACTTAATTGGGTTTTTTATGGTTTTCTAGAAATAGATAGCATATGGTGAAAAATCTTAATTAGGATATGTAAATATGGTTGTCTCCATAATGACAAATTTCCCTAGGCCTATGAGATGTTTATGGCCTGGCCAGTGATCATTGGTTGCTGTTCAATTGCAATAGCACCAAAAGGATATGAAAACAATAATTTAATTTCTGAGATGATGTGAGAGCAAATAGAATTAAGATTTAAAAAATTTGAAATTTATTTCACAAGTAGTTCTGTTGGAAGTAAAAAAGAAATATTGTTTGGTACTATAAATGAGTAATACATTTGCGGTCGGAATTTGTGATAATCCTTCATTTTTTGCATATGATTGATCATTATTGATCCATTTTCATCAATATAAAACAATATTAGGCAAGTTGGGAATGGTAATGATAGTGACAACAGTGTTAACAACGACAGTGACTAAGCAATATACAATGATTCCGGAATGCTAATAGTGAGTTTTTTCTTGTTTAATAGATATGTTGAATGTGAGAAAGAAGTATGAATTCGTGAAAGAGACAGAAGTGATCAGCCTAAATGATTCAGTCTATTTGAGGTATTGGCGCATTTCATCTTATTGTACTTCGCGGAAGGCAAATCTATGTTTTGTTGAACTTTTGCGCCCGTCAACAGAATGATCCCTTCCATACTTATTGGGAAATTCCATTTCTGTGAAAAGAAAATTGATTTTCAATCACTTCATTGTTTACATAAATAATATCATTTATAGAAGGCATTGCAATTATGACTTAAGAGTTAAATGGTGTATTTTTTTCCAAACGAAAGATAGAATGAAAGGAAAAGTTTGAAAAGTGTGAAGAGAAACGGATTACCATCAAAAAAAAGTAGGCAATTTAATCACTTTCCCATTTAATTCGATCTCATAAACTTTTAGTTGACAACTTCCATTTAATCATCGAAGCTTTTTAATGACAACTTGAAAATGACAGAGTTAAAAACTTGGGCTTCTCAGGACTGAGAATTCTGTGGAATTAACTAGCTTATTATGTTCATATTATTGATTTTGCTGAAAATTTTAATTCCTTGCCAAATATTATCATGATATTTGAATAATAAAAACAAATGATATTTTCATCCGAAATTTCACCATCGTTGCGGCACTGCTTCTATTTTCAGGGCGCATTTGTCAGGGATGAAATTGAATAATCAATCAATCATCAACGTGATGCAATATGTACTGATATGAAGTTAGCTTTAACCCATATATAACTTTCTACTCTTATTGTTATATTATATAATATGTACATCATTTGCAGAATTCGTGAAGCTTTAAAAAGCTAATGATGGAAAAACTTACTGGAACGAGGTGGTAGATATCTGCTTGTTGATAATTGATAATTATTGCTCTGAAAGAGGCATTGAATGATTAAAAATTCATTCAGTGGCACTTTTGCTTTTTGATATTATTTAGCTAATAATGATAATTCAATATGAATTTCTTGAAGTTCCTTGAATGTCAGATAACAAGCTGATTGTATTTCATAAATAATATAATTAAATGAGATGTTAATAGCTTCTTTTCGAGGGGAAAAAAATGCTTACTAAAAAAAAAAGGAAAATCTTCAAATTATTGTTACTAAAAGGATGACAAAGAGAAACAAGAAATTCAATTCCTTTTTCTAATTTCATACTTCTGCAAAGATTCGAAATATTTAAGCTTCAATTTGTATCCTTCAATTCAGACTTACAAATATTCAACTTTTGTGAAAATACAATACTTACCAATGGTAATGACAGGGTGATGACAACAAACAATGATAACAGAATTAGTGACATTGATGATGATAATGACAACATTTCCCCTTTTTTAAGTGGAGAGACAAAGATGCATATGCAGAAAGAAACAGAAGAACCGCAAGCATAAGCTGGGACAATTTCAGGAGTGAAAGGATGACTTTGGAATGAATGGGTGGACGGGGACCTTAATGGGATAGCATACAAATAGTATTCGATCCATCATCCATCTAGCTTCCTTCCTTTCCTATTAGTTGATTCCATAAAATAGGCTTATGTATATGGAAATGACAGACAGAGCCTACAGGCATCTCTGCTATTTCCTTTTTTTCTCTTTTCAATGAAGCATAAATGTCCCAGAATATTTTCAACAAAATCGAACACTGAAAAGCATCATGTCGAGAAGACAACAGCCTATATCAATCACTATACATATTAAAAAAAGTAACCTTTTTTTCCCCTCTCCCTTTTTTATTTTATTGCTTGAAAGGCAGAAAGGTCATTAGAATGAAGTAAATACCACACCTGATACAGTACTTCATCTCCTTTATATTAACCAAATCTTTAATTTTGAACCTGAACCACCTGAAATGTAATAATAGGTTAAACTTTGTTAAAGATAACGAATCCCACTCAGGTAAATGCATCAGGGCTTTTGATTTAATCTGTAAATAAGATCATCTCATAAATATAATCAATCTAAAAAGTAATGGGAAATACGAGGATTGAAATTTACATTATACATGATAGCAATTTTCATTTAAAACTATGTTTAGCAAACTCGCTAAAATGCCACGAATGATATTTCCAATCATTTTACACTTTTAGTTTCGCTTACATCAATGGTTTTGATGCGAATTAAAGTTTATTGCCATTTCAAAATTCTTCAAAGAACCCTGCAAACCTAGCGTTGACCAGGCTATAACCTTAAATACTGAGGAAGCCTCGAAGCGAACACCCTATGTGCTCAAGTTTTCCCACCTCCGTCCAAATTAATTAAATTTTTACAATTTTCCTACAATATCTCAATAAGATTTGCTTGTACCATGTTATGAGCAAGAAAAAGCATTTTTTTTCTCAATAGTATTATCCAACATTTTAATTTTCAATGAGTTGATTCAATGCAGGCAGCTGCGACACACTGAATTCTCTCGAGAAATTTCAAATTCAACTTTCCACAAAGAGTATTAAAATAATCCATGTGTCATTTGCTCTCTGAAACTCCTTCCAAATGCATTTTCATTTGTTCCTTTTAGAATGAGATGATGGCAAAAAACACTCCACCCTAAATTCGTAGCAATATTATAGTTGTATTTTTCTTTAACAATAAAATAAATGTTGTATATGGTGGTTTCATCACACTAAATCAAACCAGGAGGGTTCATACATGATATCCAACTAAAAAATCATTTTGTAATTACAGGTTCCATAAATTCAGAATATAATAAAAAATAACATACGAAGAGACGGTAGATATTGGGTGAAACACCTGCAAAAACACATGACACCCCTTTAACAGATGTGAAAGCGAAAGATTTTGGTCATGTGTAAGTACTCATGCGTTAAAAAATATTTTATTTCATTGTTTATGTTAAAAAGTACAAGAATTACTAGTAAGCAACTGATAACTAGAAATCAAGAGAGAACAATCTTTTTTGAAGACATCGTAAAATCACATTACAATCAAAAATTTCGCCCTCTAAAATTTCAAAATAACAGGACTTCAAAATAAGACGGGTTCAGATATGGATTAGACAGGAGAGTAAATAGTTACTGAAAACAGAAAATTACGCAAATAGACAACGCTGCAGCGTTTGATTAAAAACTATACGAAACAGAGTGTCGCATCAATATCTGGAAGCACGCGTTCCTAACTCTGCGAATTTATATAAGTTACGCAACACTCCAGAAGGTAAATATAAATTCTATCTGGTCCACCCCAATGTGCCCAAATTAAGCGAAGTTGCTCGCTGTTACACAACAACAAATAAATTTTAATCAGCAAATTAATTAAATCTTCGCTCTAACCAAACGACTCATGTAATTTCTAAAGTTCAATGACTGGAAACACAATATGCGATATATTTAAGTTCAGTAATTTATATGATACCAGGTCATGAAAACTTCTTGCCCATACTAGACAAACAGGTTTTTTGCAAGTCCTAACTTAAAATTTACAGGATTTTTTTAAAGTCTGCTTTTAATTAGTAATGTGACTTAAGCAAAGTCAAAAACAACTGGTAACAAACATGAAAAAAAATTTTTAAAGTCGCTTGCATCTTGATAGCTCCGTGAAGAACCGGAATATAAAGTGGCCCAACGAACCATCGCAAGAAAACATGGTCGTATATACGTCTGCGTAAGCATCGTGCGCAACCCCAACCATTTCAGGAGTTCGCAAAAAGTCCATCATCCATGCGTCGATAGGTGAAGAAGCAATTAACAACATGACGATGTCGTTAAGTAGCACTACAGTATACAACCAAGATTTTACCTGCTTGTTGGAGAACTCGTCCTTGGAAGCATTTAAATGACTTCCGGATGTTTTGGTTTTGAGAGATGTTACGATATGATGGAAACGTCCTCTTTATTTGTTCGTCTGGGCAAAGCCGACCACATAAACAAGGAAGTTTATTCCTGCAACAAATATCCAGACAATAGTATTTCACATAAATAATAACTGCTCGATGTAGACTTTTTTCTTCAGATGTTAAAATATCAGCAATACTATAACACAAAACATAATTCAGAAGTGTCATCATAATCAACCATAAGAAGCAAGAAGCAATGTTGAAAGCTCCATTCAATAAACTTGTGTCAGGCCGTTTATATTGTCATAGGGCATCTCCTTCAGCTATGTGGGGTCAATTTTTGTCGAACTTTGAAGAAGTCAAAATGCCACGAAAGGATTTACTGAGAATAATAGCGATTTGAGTCCTTTTCATTACCAGTAATGAAAAATAGCAATTAATTATAAATTTATTTGTAAAGATGAAGGAATCATCGCCAAACAATTGAGCTTTCAAATCAAATTATATCTTAAAATGTATTAAGCAAAGACAAAACAATTACCTTATCAGAACAGAAGCCTGCTTGATAAAAGCAGATATATTACACCCACGCTGTCCACCCTTCATACATCAGTGCTAAATTACTTATATCTGTCGCCTGTTGAATCAACAAGTCAATCTGAAACAAAAAATTAAATGTCGATAATGTTACATAAATTTAATTTATATTCAATGAAATTCAGAGTTCAAATTTTAGGATACCTGCTCGGATGGTGTCAACCGTTCGCTTACAATGTTTGCATCAGTTTTCGCATTTTCATTTTTATTGGTGCCAGTTACAACCATTCCTTCTAACTTCATCCGTACTCTCTTCGAAACATGCTTACCGTGTAAATTCTGTTGTTGCTGCCCTCCAATTCACAGTATATTAGTAACTGATAGATATATCGAAAAAATTATATAGTTAACAGTGAAACTGTTAAAATGATAATCCTACCCTCACGACGTTCCACCGGTGAAGACTTGCCGCTGCGGAAATGCAAATCCACTTTTTCTTTCATTTTTTCCAACAATAACAAATTGTCATAAATGCTGAAATGTTATTCAAATGAGGAGTAATGCAAAATCAACTGTTTCCGGAGATTTCAAATCCCTTCTGTTTTTTAAAAATTGAATGAAAAAGGTGTTTTTCAAACTTCTTTTGTGAAAAACAACAAACCTCGGGATGTTGTCAATAACAGACCGGAAAAGATCGATGCATACGACAGAACCACTGCGTGGATTATCCAATAACTTACTCTGTGGATCATCCAATAATTTAAGTCCTTTAATCAGCGGGTCACTGAATAATTCTTTATATCGTTGCAAGTAAACAGCAAACGATTCATTTTTCTGAAACGCTTGAAATTTCACAGTGTACAAGCCTGCAAAAATCAACGGATAGCATATTTCTTTATGCTTGCTTTCCCAGTGAATGTTTACCTGCAGCTATTGATATGAAAAGACTTCAGGCCACAATGGAAAGTGCATGAGTTAGTTGAACCTAGTATCTTAGATTGTACAGTACTTATCAAATGATAGTTGATAATCACCAACGACCAAACTAAGGAATATAGAATTAAGTTATCTATTAAAACTCTTCCCTATTTTGAAGACTTCTGACTGCTAATTATTGCCCAGTAAACAGTTCATTAAATCTTCTCTGACAAGGACAGAAATAATCAGTAAATTTTTCAGCAAAGCATTTTAACCATTGGACTACTGTCTGCTTAAAATCTGTACAAGTAAAGGCCCTTTTCATGACTCAAGTCGAAATTTCCGTAATCTTAAAACTTCTAAACGCGGCATTAAATCTAAAATTCCAAATCTAAAATCAGATCTAATAAAAAGCAAATTCAGACTTAATATATAGAAGCTATTAAATCAAAACTTGCATGAGCGAAAAAACGAAGCAGAGGGCGTATATCGTGCATCATAGAATGATGTTCTGTAACCGCATTTTTCAAATCACGTTCAGCTGACAGTTTCTCCATTTCCAGTTTATTTACCTCTTCTTCCCAATTCTGAAGTCGACTTTTCACATCCTTCTGAGTATTTTTGTACAATTTTTCCAGTATGCTAACAATGGACGCTAGCATATATTTAAGATGATCTCTGCAAAGAAAAATTTTATTAATTAACTCAACCAAACGACCAACTAATCAGCAATCGAAAATTGAAGTAATAAATCAACAGCTTATATCAGAAATGATCAGGATATATTATATATATTACATAAACATAACCGCTGGATAATTTCTTGGCAAAAAATGCAGTGGCAAATAAGTAACATAAAAGTAGGTTTTTAACCAACCTGTTATCAAGCCATGCAGCACAGAGTTCTCTGATACGAAGAGCAAACAATGATAAAGCCATCGCATGCAAAACATCAGAATGACTGTCTACTACTCCTAAAGACGTATTCAGTAATCAGCAATGATTCAACTTTATTAGTCAATGAAAAACGAAAAATAGTTATGAGTAGGAAAATTTTAATCGTTACAAAATACATTATGAACCCAGTATACAAGCTTTACTTTATTTAACAGCTGTAAAGAAAAAGGCAGGTAAACACTTGTCAAAAATATGTATTCGAACCATATACGGCAATAATTGTCGCAATGCCAATCATTGACTTGGAGCCAAGGTCATCTTGTGCAGCGGCCCAATCAACTAATGGATCATAAACAAATGCATCCAGCATCGTCAATAATATTTCCCTCCCAGCACGGAGTTTTCCTAACACATTTTCACAGGAAAGCCGAAAGGTTCCCTTAAAATCAAGATATTTTTGGCGAAAGTGGAAATTAATTCATAAAATTTAAGCTTACTTTTTTTAGTTGAGAAATAGTACAGTAAGGATAAAGAAACCTTCAGTAACTTACGGAATATGGATGAAAACACACAGAATGTTCTACATAAATATGAAACTGAATTGAACTTACTTCAACATCGGTGGGACCAAGGGCTCGAATAATATTTCCAGTCAAACGGAATGGTACCATTTCTGGCACGCGCAAATTCCGTCCCTAGAAAAGAAAAAAAAATCATTCAATTTTCTGACATTCTTTCCTCAGTTGTCCTCGTCAGGGCCCATAAAAGCCCATAAAAAAAAGTATATAACAATATAAAAGCAATATCATGGAAACTTTTGTAATAATAAAAAGCAATGCCACCTACTTTGTCAAAGCAGACATTATAATCGATATGCACCACATGTCCAAATTCAAAATTAACCAGAACGTTATCTAGATGGCGGTCACCCAGACCTAGGATGCTACCCAGTACTGACATTACTGCTGTTGAACGAGCAAATCTTTCGGTAACTCGGAACCATGTATCTGAACTACCAGCTCGAAGCCACAACTCCCTCAAAAAAGAGAAACGGTATTTAACAATATATCACATTTGCTAGTCATATATAATGCTTAGTTACCAAAGTTTGTGTACTACTTTAAATTGAAACTAGCACATGTCCTAAAATATGTTCGAAATCGTAAAAAAAAAAAATGTTGATCACTTTGTAAATCGAGGTATACACCATAAATAAAGTTTCAAGTTAAAAAATAAATCTGATTCAAAAACAGTACCGTGAAAGAAGATCTCGTGGAGTTTCTTCGATTAAATCTTCAACAACACCTTTTAATATATGATAAGGCCATTTTTGGCGATCAGTGATGGATTCTTTTGGGATTTTCTGAAGTTTTGTAGGCAATGACACTAAATTGTAGCAAAAGCCAACAATTACTGTTACTAGAAATTTAACACATCTTTACAGAATAACAGTGGTGGAAAAACTCCAGAGATTCTGAGCAGACAAATACACTCGTTTGAGCAAAACAAACTCGTATAAACCTAACTAATATAAGTAACTCTGAAGTGTCAGGACTCAAAAAAGTAATCAGTTTTTAAACAAAACTGAAGTAGCCGCAAAAATGTACTAAAATCAAGAATTTCTTGATGGAACAGTTTCGAAATCTTGAAAAAAAATATTATAAACTTACGTTAGCTTGAAAAGCTGCCTTGAGTTTCTTAAAAAATAATGCACTCGGTCTTTCGACCTCATTCGTTTTCTGGTTTGCGATATTTTCAGTTACCTGACGAAGTTGCCACTTCCGATAAACTTGGAAGATAGGTGTCGCTCCCTCAACCCATTCGATGAGGCCTGAACGAGAGCCAAGAGGGATAACCGAATAATTCTCGGCTATATAGGATGGCCAATCAGTTTCCTTCGTCGACAGCATCAAATTACAAATACGCAATAACTGCATGATGCGTTCGTCCAAATGCAAATCTTCCTGTCCTTTGAAAAGGAAGGGATAACTGCAATGCAAAGCATTTTTTTTTTGGAAAAACTATTTTCATAGCAAAATTTTAGAAAAATCGACCTTAATTTTTAATTAGAAGTTTCCAAGTTACTCACCTTAATTATTCAAAAGAACTAAGCCAAAAAAACTGATGAGAGGGCTATGCAAAACAACAAAAATACTATCCAACATTATCTGCTCACAAACTTTTGACAAAAAAATTCCCGCGATATGTTAGCAATCTTCATGTACTTATTTCATATATGGGAGGATCATAATTGTCGACGAAACACATTTATATCTAAAAGGAATAAGCGAATAAAACAAAAAAAACCCACTCTTTCCCATCGGATCCATGAAATACAACTTTTCTCGGTCTCGTTTTAGTTGGCAATATTACTGTCTGCTTGCTAATTCTTTCCAGCATCACAACATCGGAAAAATTCTTATGTTCTTGCCCAGGAAGTGGCACCTGTAACTGCAGATAAAGTAGGAAATCATAGCCAAGTCAAATAAAATTTATGTTAGTAATACTCAATATTAAAGCGCAGTCACTAACATTTACATCGGTTCCACAAGACGTCATATAGCCAGTTGGATATGACTCTTTCCTCCCCAGTTTAGACCATTGTGATGACCCTGATTTACGAGAGGAAGCCGAAGTGAATTAAACTAAAATTTTAAAAAGGCAAATCAGACAACCTAAAAAGAAATGCAAGTAGTCAGAATACAACGAACATGTGTTTTATTTAACGCAGTAAGACGAGGCGAAATATCAGCCATTTGGAGAAACACAAATGATCGCCTGTTTGCCCGCTGGTTTAACTGCCCCAATAACTGCAAATTAATGTTATATGCAATGTTAAGAGCTACTCTAAATATACTATACGAACATATGAACCTAATAAGATAAGGCATATAAAAAGAAATGACAAGGAGGAATTTTCACCATTTTGTATCCATCCCTTTTTATATATATAAAAAGTTAAACAATTATTGAACCCATAGTTTTCGGTAATCAGTTATCATTATAACTATTTCATTATATTCATTTGGCAAGAGCCATGAAAAAATGAGAAATTACAAGTTTGAATGAAGTCCAGGCCTGCCGTGGGTCTGATTTATTTAATCGGAGGGTTTGCATGGCTTCTTCAATAGTCGTAAGGTATGTGTCTTGAAACTGTTTTTCATTTACTGTAACAGGTACACTAGCACATGTTTTTTCATATAAGTCCTCGACAATGCGATACACCTGGAAAAAATTCTTTTAGCGCTGGGAAGCAACTTTTAAAAACTGCAAAACTTGTTACATTTTACCCCAAAATGGTTTCTACTTTGCTCTTCCATCAGCGACATTATTAGACATTTGATAAATAGCGACGGAACAGGTAATGTTAGGTCTCAT